CAATGACAGTGCACAAACGCAGCAAAGCAAATGCTCCAGACCCCGTCCCCGTCCCAGCAGGGTCCTGGGGATGCAACATGCCTGCTGACCCCAGCCCCTGCCTTCAGCCTTCCTGAGGTCTGTTCTGCTCCTCCTGTGAGCTCCCAGACCTTGCTCAGTTGGCAGCACCACCCTGCAGAGAGGAGGGAGAACACAGCCAGTAAATGCTGCTATTATTATTCCCATCAGTGAATAGCTGATCACTGATGAGGTTGATTACTGGGCTCATTTAAGCAACTTGCTCTTCTCCAAAACCATCAGTTACCATAAAGTTTCTAAAATGAATTAGTCTGAGCTATTATTTGCGAGCTGGCACAGACAGCCCTGAATAAGCTCAAGTCTCTTCGGTGGTGCCAGCTGTGGAAAATAAAGATGCAGTACTCCCTGGCAGGACTTTGGTGGGATGCAGCAGCTTTCAGACATCCAGAAGCAATCGACAGTACCTGAAACACACCTCTTAACTCCTACCTCAGCATCACCAGCCTTTGCTGGGGCATCCTTTTCCCATGACCAGTCAGGGATTCAGCAGTGGGACATTCCTGCCTTGTGGACGGGCACATCCAGGTCGTGTCCCAGCCATAGTTTTGTCCCGAACCAGGGGACTTAGAGGCGTGGGGGGTGGCTCAGTGGTTTTAACCCACTCTTGACCCTTTTGATCCCCATTTTCAAAAAATGCTTGTTTAAAACCAGATTCTGGGAGGGAGAAAGAGCTCTCCTAGGACATGGGTTCAGCCAGGAAGAAGGTCGTCTTCTCATGGTGGCTCAGACACCTCCTTTTCTCCTCCAAATCATATATCCTGCTGCTTTGCTCCCTGGGGAGGGAGATGGGGCTTCAGAAGTAATGATTTGTCACAGCTTTTCTTGTTGGTACCTGCTGAAATGCAAGTGTCTGCGGAGCGCTCACCTGCAGGAGCACTGACTCTTAATGTGCTGGGAAATCCCTTCTCTACCACAGAAAAAACCAAACCAGAAATCCTTAGTAAAAGAAAAAAATTAAAATGAATGGCAGATGCTGTGAAATGGAGATGGTATCCAGGCCATATAGGGTAAAATTATCCTGAAACAGCTTTAAATATAGCTAGCACAGCTTCCTTGCCATGGAATTTATTATCTGGTAGGTCTTTTTCTTCGGCTGCTGTAGCTGTAGATCTCGATTCTGGGCAGACATGGATGAATCCAAGCTGGATCTAGCTTGGGGTTGAAAGCCCATGGGTAGAAAACACCACCCAAACCCCACCACCTGAGACCCGGCTGGGTAGATAACCAACCTCACTGCAGAAAGCCCTGCTGTGCCCACTCCTTTCGATGCGGTGCCTTTTGAAGGTGTGCACATGTGCCTATGGATGTTCACAGTCCACAGTTCACTGTTCACAGTCCCCATCCCTGGAAGTGTCCAAGGCCAGGCTGGATGAGGCTTGAAGCAACCTGGTCTAGTGGAAGGTGTCCCTGCCCATGGCAGGGGGTTTGGAACTGGATGGTCTTTAAGGTCCCTTCCAACCCAAACCATCCTGTGATTCTGTGAGGAGCGGGAAACACTGGGAGCTTCAAGCTCAATAATCTTAAATGGATTGGCTCAATTCCCTTATCCTCTTTACTCATGTGAAAGGGGAACCCATCAGTCGTGGAAGCCAGCAAACTTTTCCAACCCTGTCAGAGCTAGGCATGGAAAGCAGAAGATAGCATTTGAACTATTAAAGGATAGTTTATGGCTCTGTCAGTTGTGGCTTTTCATCATAAATAAGAGAGAAAAGTATTTATTTCGTTCACAATTTTATATGTGCTTTAAAAAAAGCAGTATTAATTTTACAAAATGTTAACCCAGGAAGCACATCTTGCTGCTAAAAATCTCTCAATACAAAAGGCAGAATTTTAAAAAGTAAAATGCAATATAAAACAGTAAAATGAGAAAAATGTGAATGTGGAAGGGACCAAATTCCTCCTGCAGCCCTGCCCTCCTCAGTACCTAGGAAAAAGCTCCCTCCAGATTAACCCATCGCCCCGGTTTTCATCCAGCCACTTCCCGCAGGGAAATATGGTGGTCACACCAGTCGCTGAGTTGGTGATCTCCACCCGCTCCACCAGCCAGCCTGGCGCCAGACCACTGTTGTCATGCTCAATCCGGACTTTTTTTAGCTCCCCCATATCCAGTGTTTCCAGGTAAAACCTGTTGGTTTTGCCCCGTTCAAAAAGATTCCTGAACTTCTGCTTCAGCGCCCGCTTTCCTGAGTCCCCATTCAAGCCGAAGATGGTGATGAACACGTTGGCGTCAGTCCCCGCACCTTTTTCAAAGCCTGTGACCACGATAGTCTCATATTTGACTGGCACCAAGCTCCGTGCTTTGCTGGCAAAGCTCTCGGTGACCTTGGCACACTCAAAGACTTTGTAGTCCCGTCTCTTGTAACGCAGAGGGATTTTCACATTGCACCTGAAAAAGTATCTGCCGAAGGAAAATTAGGAGCATGTTAATGGTGTGGATGGCCATTTGATTAGGCAAATGCTACGGACTGGGCACGCCACTAAGTTCCCCCAGTATTAATGCTGTTTCAGCACTTTTGCAGACACAATGAATCATAGAATCAGGGAATGGTTTGGGCTGGAAGGGACCTTAAAGATCATCTAGTTCCAAACCCCCTGCCATGGGCAGGGACACCTTCCACTAGACCAGGTTGCACCAAGCCTCATCCAGCCTGGCCTT